CCTTCTCCAACTTCGATTTTAGCCCAATGCATAGCTTCATGGTATGCCCAACTTTACCACAATAATAACACATATATGGTAGCCTTTCATATTGAAAAAAGGCAAAGTGGATTTCCCCCACCCTATCTCGAAGTTTAATTCCACGACGAAACGGTACTGTAATGTTCACAGCAAACCTTAACCTCATGAATCTACTCCCCTTCCCAAACTCTTCACATATTTCCATGACCTCCTATTCCTTAAAACTGCTAGCAACTTTGATTGCCATCTCCTTTGTTATACATTCACGAGGAAGATCATATACCTGAATCCAAAATTGAACCAAATCAAAATAGATTGAATTAACATCAATACCTTGGGACCATCTATTGGTGATAAGCAGAAAATTATCAAAACACCATGGGCCTTGGTACAGGACTTTGTGAATCACCCTTTCCTCCTTCAAGAAAAATTGAAAGATATTAGATGAAATCCTCATAACTCTCAGATCTTTACACCCCCAAACCCCTGACATTGTGTTCTTTAGGGCAACTGAGTTAACAAATTTCTCTGTCAAATTCTTCGCATAAATACTCAAAGCACACTCCTCCAACCCTTTTGCAATATCTTCGGTATTAAAATCAATAGCCACCTCCTCCTCCTTTGTAAGAGAGAAACTCTGAAGCTTATTAATCAATCCCTCTTCCATAGTGCTTCCTTCAAAAAGAAAACCTGACCTAAACACAGTGAAACCCAGATGGGGAGACAACAGTCTGAATAGTAGCAAGGAAAACCGAGACTATGATTGAGCACCATAGATCTAAATATACTTGATCTGTGTGTTATAAACCAACGGGAAAGAAAATCAAAACAAGATGACGATTAGAAGACGAAGATGGGAAACAACGAAAAGGACGATGGGAAGAGAAAAGAAAGAAACTCCTATAGTTGACCTAAGGAGAGAAAAAAGTTAAATTTTACACATTTGTTTTTAACAAAATAATGGATATAAAACAAGTTAAAAGAGAATAAATCATATAATACTAACACAACGCAAGTAAAATAAAAAAAATCATATCACCATAAGTTTAGCTTTGTTCTGATTCTTGCCAAGATGTTGTTGACTACCCCAAACACAAGAACCATGATTCACGTCCTGAAAAGATGATGATTGCGAAGAACTGGCCTTAGAAGAATTGTGCATGTACTCACCAAACAAAGAGAATGACTTCTTACCAACATGGCTAAACTCAATTTGAGCCATCACCAGAAAGCCTCATAGGAAAATTCAACAAATTGAATGTTATAAGGAGGATCAAATATCACTGCAATAGCCAAAACCAAATGGGTATGCAAAAACTACATCTTTGTGCACAAGGGAGAGAGAGAGAGAGAACCTTGAGGAGATCTGGATTTGAGATATTTTTAAGAGATAGAGATTTGCGTCGAAGCCTTGAGGAGTGACGACTGGTAACGTCGGAGCCCTGAGGAGGGATGATTGGCGATGTCGGAGTGAAGCTCTTATTCTTCTCCAGTAAATGGCTTATTGTGCTTGTGCTTTTGTGCAAGTGACGAACAGGCAGCGACAGTAGATAAAGAGGAAATGAAATGAGTTTAGAGTTAATTTTTTTTTTTGCTTTTATATACTTAGATAAACTGTTAAAAAGGTTAGGTTGGGATCGAGTTCAAATCAGGCCAATCCATTTAAAATATATGAGTTAATCATGTCAAAATCGGATCAACTCTATTATGACCCATACTGGACATGATTTTTTTAGGTTTAAACATGTTAACCCATTTTTTTCTCACCGACTCATTAAATTTCGTATTCGATTTTTATCGTGTTAATGTGTCGAATGAAAAATTGACATCCCTATCTCTATCAACCTTTTCATTTGGAAAAATTATATTTGAGGTCTTGCACGTGTTTGGGCAAACCTCACGGCCCCTTGCAGTTTTTTTTTTTTTTCAAACAAGGCTATACTTCAACTCCAGTGGTTCGGATTAAAATGAAACCACTCCAATTATAGCAAAACTAGTATCACTGAATCTATATCGGATTCGGCAGGTTAAAAAAACAAAAAACAAAAAGAGAAAATGAAATTTCTCCTTTCTTGTTCAGGGATTTAGATGCCGGTCCCCAAGTTCAATAGAATTTAAAACAAAACCTCACTCACTAATTTTCTTTTGCCTTAGGTATCTGTTGAAAAGTTAAAGTAAGAACATAACAAACGTCATTTATAATTGTAAAAAATAATAACAATGTCATCACCTAATTTAAACACATATTCTAAAAAATTACGTCATTATAATGCACATTTTTTTCCATAAACATAAATTGTAAGACAAGTACATTAAAAAAAAACAGGTACGCAATTCATATACATCTTCGAGCAAAAAAATAACAAGTAAGCAAAAAAAATATAAAAAATAATAAGCACACAATAATCGTCATACAATTACACTAAAACTCAAATCGTAAAAAAATACACTAAATTATAAATTGTAAGACAGGTACACTATATATATATACCTTCGAGTCAAAAAATAACAGGGAGTAATAAAAAATAACAGGAAGGAAAAAATGTCAGACAGGTACGTTAAAATACAAATCATTGATGTAACTTCTTCTCCATAAACATAGATCGTCAAATATGTATACTAAAATACAAATAATCAGATAGGTATATTAAAATACATATCGTTAATGTACCTTCTTCTCCATAAACACAGATTGTCAGACGTCATCATAATGTTTAAATTGCTTGATTTACGAGTTTGAGTTTTAAAATTGATAAGGGCAAAAAAAGAGAAACTAACTATATTTTAAGTTGAAATTATGTGATGAGGGCAAAATAGGTAATGAAAATTAGTAACTAACCAATCCCTTAACATTCGTGCTAACATAAAGACCGCATGCAAGTTTTTAAAAATATCGGAGGACCATTTTTTATCCTAAAAATTCGGTAAAACTAAAATTAGTTTACACAACAAATAAGGGACCTTACCCTAATTAACTATTCTTATATTTTTACCCGGATGGTAATAAGCCCACGTTGAAAGGTTCTGTCTTACTAAAAGCCCAGAAGCATCGACCCAATCCACAATCAGCAGCATCTAAAGGATTCAGGCTCATCAGTGTTGTAACCTAGTGAGCCCAAACCCAGTGAGTCCAAAACTTAGGAGTCTATTTCCCCTCAAAACAAGAAACTCGGTATTATCAGGACAAAAAAGTTTGATTTTTATCCATTCTAACAAAAATGGTATAATCCATTTTTTTCTTTTTTCTTTTTTTTGTATGTTGATGTTAGGGGATTTTTGTGCCCTATTAGATTGTAATGAAATTTCCTATATTACTTACCGAAAATTAAACTCGTATACTACCCCCCAAACAAAAATTAAGTTTTGGTTAAAAAAAAGTGTCTTGTGATTTTTTAAGCGATTAAACTGTCATCTATGGGAATGTTTCTGATATCATGCAATCATTAGTAGGAATAATATGATTTTTTTTTAATAGTAACAGTATTACACTGCAGGGGAGAGGGAGAGGAATAACCAAATACCTATAATGCCAAACACGAAGCTTCTGCCAAGTACTTACTCAGATTGAAGAAGGTCCAATGTGAATTTTGGAATGCTAGGTATTGTCAATTTGTCACCTATTCATGAAAATCTCAAAAAAATCTAATATATTATAATACTTTTTTTCTTATTTTCCTCAAAAAGAATAGTTGAAATCATGTGCTATTTAATCACTCACCAATTATACTTTATTATCAAATGGATAAAAAATTCTCTAGAAGTTGCTGCTCCAGCCCGAGTAAATATTGAGTGTAATCGCTCAATAATAAAACAACATGTGCGCAAGTGAATCCCACAAAATTAAATGACTACCAATTCATATCATGCACTAACTACATATGTGAGAGTCATTTGCCCACATGTTGTCTTATTATTGAATTGTTAGTATGTTAACATGATAACGCAATACAACCGTTACACCCAATATTTGTTTCCAAAGTAAACATATTTTGTATAAAAAATGATAAATAAATTTTAAAAATTGACTTAATGAATCGCTACAATTGAATAGAGAGTATCTATTAACAACAATGAAAAACATAGCTGTATATCCTTCACACAGGCACACACAAACAGACCAGAAAAGGGAAAAAAAAAATGCTCCATGTGTATATAAATTACTTCTGTTGGGGAAAGTTCCATTGAATGAAGCAAAAAGATTTGCTCTAACATACAGTGTTGAACTTTTTACATGATATGGAGCATAGATTATTAGCATGTCTAGATAGTCTCTATTTGGTATATTGATCCGTAATATGAAATCACTTGCAGAAGTCACGTTGAAAGTACTTGAAACCCTAACAAAAACCCTTGAAAGAGGGAATGCCTAAAAATGAGAAAAATTTCAAGAAATGAGGGAAAAACTTGTCTCAGTATACTTGCAGTTGTTTATGGTATTAAAAAAAAGGGGTTGTCATAACTAGAAATGAGCCAAATTAAGTAGCATGAAAGGTGAATAATAACAATTAGCCATGACAGGTACCAGCCTAGAGATGACTCTACGTCAAAACATCAAAATCTCAAACTACAATTACAGCCTATAACTACTTTCTCTCCCCAAAAAAGAAAAAGATATTATTGAAAGATTAACGATGCTTACCAAAATATTCTTATCAAATGAATGTGTATGATTAGATTAATAGTTTTATTGAAAAAGGTAATAGGATCTACTAATCTAACATTTCACATGAGTTTGGTAAGAAATTTTAGTAAACTTTTTAAAAGTATATAAATGTTGATATAGGAAAGAAAGCAGTCAGAAGAAAAACAAAATCAGACAAAAAACTAGCAAAATGCAACTAGAGAAGAACTTAAAACTTATTCATGATGCATAGTGTTTGAAAATACCTTGCCAATTGCAATGTCCTTACACAACAGTCATCTTTACATATCCTGATCTTGTGCAAGTACCAACAAGATCTGACTAGAATTCCTGCAATTCATGTAGTCAGATCCAGAGTACTCGCCAAACCTGGATTCTTAGTAATATCTTCGTCTTTCATCTGGATGGACATGTTTAAATCTATAGTTTGGTCTTCTTTCTTTGAAGGAAGAAACAAAGAAAGAGACAAACTGCTATCTTTTTCCTCCTCATACCATGGTGTTGTCTTCACTTCTTGTCTTGATTTCACACTTAATGACAGATTTAGATCTAGGCCATCATCGTCTGGAGCTTTTCTCTGTTGTTTGTATAGCTTTTCTCCCTTACTGCTCCAGATTGTTGGGGAAACTGAATTGATGAAGCCTTTCACGTTCTCTTCTCCTATATTAGTTCCATGCAATCGCGTTGCAGACCTTGCGGTAATGGGTTCGACTACGGTTGAACTGGCGTTGTTTTGGTTGGCAGCAAAACCATTTGATAATCTAAATTCTTCCTGGAACCCATGGGACGTCTTACAATTTTGTGTAGTGAAAGATGAGTTCCTATACATGTAGAAAGCCCCATTCCTTGTGTTTGTACCAATACCTCTACAGTGTTTCCAATCTGACACTGTTCCTTGAAAGCCAGTTCCATTTCTGTTATCCATGCCCTCTGTCATAAAAGATCTGGGGGCCTTGAACATCCACTTTCCGTGGCTGCTTGAAAAATCATCTCGATACCGAAAATGGTTAGTGGTTACATGGTGTTAAAAAGGCATATAATATATACAAATGTGTGCGAGAGAGAGAGAGAGAGAGAGAGAGATGGTGCATCTGAAAGCACATAGACGTTCGCTAGTGTCTTTGAATACCTGAAATTGGACCTAATCCTTTGATCGGGAAATTGCCAAAGGTTGTACAGAAGGTGATCTGTGTTCCCCGTAGGATGATACCCTCTCTCGTTTATGACTTCAGTATCAAGTCAATGACAGACAATAATATCAAAACATCAATGACAAAAGAACAAAGAAATATAGCCCTAATTTGACAATTTTTGAACAACCATCTGGAAATGTTGGCATACCTTGGCCCTGATCAACAATGTTCTTGCTCCTATACATCTGTTCCAACAAACCCAACAAAAAAGGGGAGAAACCCATCATAATGAGTGATAAATGACTTAAAAGGGTTATGGATGAGTTGTAAAAATTATATCACCTGTAAGTGGCTCTTGATATGAGCAATACTAAGGCCCTTGATATTCATTAGATGCAGAACTAGTTTTGGTGTTGCTCCTACAACAAATTAATAACTTGCAAGTAATTTTAATATTCAAAATAAAAAAATTCCAAAGAACACAAACCATAAACCAACCTACTTTCATGACCCCCAAGTCGCTCGACAGCTTTTACAAAACAAAGATGTAGATCAGGAGTCCACCTTAGCCTTGGGACCTTGGATCGAACATACTGTCTCACCCCAGCAGAGCTCGTCCTTTTCTTACCCTCCTCAACTATACTGTTACTTGAGCTTGCACTTGTTTTAGGGTTGTTTTCATCTTCTCCCTCATCCTCGCTTTTGTCCGTATCATTCCTCTTTGAACCATCGCAATTTTGATCTTCCTTCATGCTTTGATCCAAGCTTGATAAGTAAATAGAACGCTTCAATTAGATGTGATCAGATTCACTTTATGGACAATCATCCCCTTCCTTTCTCTCGACATGCCTAACCTGCTTACACAGCTTTGGTATGCATAGCAAATTCATTCAACTCATGGGAATCCAAAGTTCCACCAAGAGAAGGAAATAGAAAGAAGATCTCTCTCTCTCTCCCCAAAGTCCAAGCATAGATAAAGACATGTCCTCGAGCATTTCCAACTCATGCCTGCTTAGATCATCCTGACATACGTGTGGTAGTGCATGTATGTATATATCCATGTGTGTAAGACTTGGACAGTGAAAAACTGGATTGGTAATATGAGGTGGTCAAAGGTTAAGAGTAGAACTCCGAAGAGGGATAGTGTGCAAGGGATGGTAAAACCTAGACGGGTACTTTGACCCAAGCTCAATCTGGATCGTATAGAAACAAACGCTCCATACATAAGGTACTAGTAATGGTTACTATCAAATTCAGGCAAGGGATTAATCATATTATATCATTCTATTTGGATTTGTAATGCATAAATATTAAGTTTCAACATTAACTGAAGCCCCTGCCATGAATATGGTTTTCAATCTACTTCAGTAGTTGGCCATTACCATGGAGAATAATAATATTAAAATCTTAAAATGTAATGTAGTGATGTGATAAATAAATAATAGGATTCCACTAAAAATTATAAACAGTTATAATCACAATAATGCTATCTAATCATGTCCACCGCAACATCATTAGATTTGTATTTTAGGTCATACTTTTAAGTTACTAGCATTTCTCTGTGATGGTATATATATCCTTTTACCATAGAAGTAGTTACACTTGTGTTCAATGTAAGAACCTAATTCATCGTTGCAAATGGATTGAAAATGTGACTGGGTGCAAATTAATCCAATGACCACAATGAATTAAATCTATAAATTATGTCTCAATGCTCAATTGCATTTCTTCTACATTAATAAGTATATATGTCTCACACAGCCAAATGCATTATTTCTCCTAGAAAAAAAATCAAGAATTTAAACTCGGGAGACTGAAAATCAAGGGAGATCGAATTTATATAGTTTGAACTTATCTATTGCTAATAATAGCATAGCAAACCGATTTCCCAAACCTTTGAGATTCATCATTTTAATACAACCCATTTTCTATTAAACCAAGTTTAGAGTAAATTTTTTTCTTCACTTAAATGCCCGGCATATTGTACCTGTTTTGAAGGCGGGTGAAGGAAATTTATAGAAACCCTAAAATGTAGTTGATAGAGGCAAGGTGTTGGGAAGTCTGTGCCCATGATACTTGCTGTCTGTTCACAGATTCGTCTTTGCTTCATCTCAAGAGCCGCACCTAGTAAAACAACACTTCTATTATTACTATATGCTGCACATTTCTAAGATTCCCTTTTCAAATTTTATTTTATTTTATTTTATTTGTAGTATTTACGTGGTGCTCCTGACCTACAGATTGGGTGGTCCTTTAATTTTTAGGCTACTTGACATCAATCCCACGATGTAAGAGGAGGAATGCTAACCAGGATAATTTGATTGCACAAATTTGTAACTAAATCGGCCAATCGTATAACTCAAAAGTTTGAAGAATCTTTCTTGTTGTACGACTATTAGGTATGAATGCTCTCAAACTACATAGACTCACTATTTCCAGGCTAAATTTCTGGATTCATCCATCTCTTTATTGGTAAGAAAAAATCATATTAAATATCTGTTTATTCAATCTTTGGTACCCTTTTAAAATAGTGTAGCTTCATTATTTACGTTGTCCTTAATTGGTATTTGGTACAAAAATATTATATTTTTCATACCATAACTCGAGTAATCATATATTAAAAATAAGTTATGGGTATAATTTTTATATCTTATTATTTTGTTATGATATAATTTTTTTTAATAAATAATTACAGATTCTGCAAATGAAAATTAATAGTATAAATTAAATTTCGATACAATATCTCCGGGTTAATGTAACCTTATCCTTGGTATTTTTAATTCAAACAGGAATACGACAAGATAAAGAAGGTACAGGGAGACTGCAGGATGTTGGGCTTTGAAAACAACAGAGTTTGGTCTTGCATGGTTGGAATACTAAAACCTAAATTATCGTTAATGTCATTGGGTCCACAAGGTACTTGAAAGAAATCAATATTGTCAGTCTTAAGGTCAACTCTTAGCAGTCCCTTGCATTATTTATATTCAGAACAGTCCAACGTGAACCAAATTATAAAACTGCCTGAGAATACGTGACCCCTGTTAATGCGGGGATCAACCATCATTCCAGAATGAGCATGTTTGTCATTATTCCACCATGACCATCGTCCTTATATGTATCCATGTCATGAATCATGTACTCCATCTACATTATGATCACCATGGCATGCTTTATGTGCCAAATGGGATCCTCTTATGTTTTATGTTCATGCTATTTGAATGTCAAACCACATCTTCAAAGTTTCATCTACTTAATTGACGGGGCCTAATTTAGTTGGTTATCTCTAATTTTTCTCAAACGTCATCGAAAACAGTCCTCGGCGAAAATAAAGAATGATATTGATAATGATTAGTTTAAATTTGAACCCTTTTAGAGTGCAAGACCTTTTTAGAGTTCAAGACCCTTTGGATTTGCAGAAAACGGCCCAAGCAACTTGTCTAAATGAAGTACCTTGAGTGCAAACTGAATTGCAGATCGGTTACAAGGAAGCTCAGTGTAACAAGTCTGGTACAATAGTAGGCTCAGAACTCAGAAGCTTGGCAGGGCCAATCTACAAAAGTTACAGCGTGAGACGTGGACAGTGGACAAGAGAATATTACTTGACGGCTCTGATGAGCTAAAACTCACAAGTAGTGGAGATGAATCCAGTACTACAGTCGGCAAGTAGTGGATTCAAAAAGGATTTGTGTACCACAACACGAAGATAAAGTCAAACACAGAAAAGATTACAGAATAGCCAAAAAGGACAAAAACGAAACCCTAACTACCAATTTTACAAATAGTCAATAGTGACACAGTGCACGAGGGAGCATTCTAGAAGCTACCAAGTGAAACCTAAGCAATGTCTTATAAAAGTTTGAAGTTAAATACTCTGTAATAACAACCTTCTTCTCCAAGCAATATAATCCTCAAAGAGCAAGAGTCTCTTTTACCGTGAATGTAATTTTTGTCCTTTGACTAATGTGAACTACTTATATTTTGTCTTTTTCATGTAGAATACATATAACATACACCTCTACACTTACATTTTCTCAGATACTCACTCACTTGTTGAACTTCACCTAAATATGTTGTGGAATCCAATTCAATTAATTTCGAGCCCCATCATCAGATATCTATTGATGATGTACGAATCAGTATTGTGCAAAATCAACAGTCAAGAATATGAATGAGTGTAGTCAATAAGCAATAAACAAGCATTTAATGATAAAAACGGTAAATAAAGGGCTAACACAAAGATTTATAGTAGTTTGGTTCGGGTGACCTACTCCACTCTCATAAATGGTAACGGTAGCCTGAGTCTTTTGTTAATGAATGAAATCGTCAGAGAGAGTATTTCCAGGAGTATTATAGTGCTTGGAGAAGGAGAGAGGAGGGTGTACAATGGAAGGTGTAGAGGTTTCGGAGGCGTACCCTAAATGTTGAGTGGGCATACATTATATAGTTAGGGTAAAGCGGTGAGGCGGTGATGTGAGTGAGAAGTCTTTCCAGAATTTTGGTAAGTATAATCTTAGTAGGACTAGATCTCCTTATCCTGATATTCTCTTGCTCGTGTCCCTATTCCGTCGAAGGATGATCCTGATCTTGAGCTTGGTCCTAGACTTGGTATTGACCTTGAATTTGAATCGGAGTAGGCTTGGGCTTGCCTTGCAGTTAAGAGGACGTAGGAAGACAAGGGGCAACCTTTGGCACTTGGGTGACCCCTGGGCGGTGCTCCAAGTGCTTTGGGTGCTGACCTCTTAGACGTCCGTCTCTTGATGCCTTCTTGAATTTCCTCTTGACGGATCAGCCCAGCTTCCCTTGGGCTCTGTCTTTGGTTTTGAGTACTTGAGCTTCGTGATTAATTTTAATTGGGCCCAATAAAATTTGGGCTCATCATTTGCCCCCTATGTCCCAAGCCTCTGACTTTTTTTTTTGAGAGGAAGGGGTCGATGGCATGTACTTTGTTCCATCTGGGTGAGTTGGAATTTTTCTTGCTTCCCCCGATATTGTTTCATTAGGGACACGCCGAATGTTTCGATATTGATTTTTTTTTTTGGCTTGCTTACTCCTTTTTTTTTTTATTGGTTTTTGGTCTTCCTGCCTCCTTTTTTCTTTTTCTTTTTCTTTTTCTTGGTCTTGGCTTCCTGGTTGGGGTTGGGCCTCCTTTTTTTTTTTTTTTCTCTTGGTCTGGGCTGGGCGTTGCCCCTCCTTCCTTATCTTTTCTTCTTCTTTTTCTTTTCTTTCTTTCTTGGCCTTGGCTTCCTGGTTGGGGTTGGGCCTCCTTTTTTTTTTTTTCTCTTGGTCTGGGCTGGGCGCTGCCCCTCCTTCCTTATCTTTTCTTCTTCTTTTTCTTTTCTGTCTTTCTTGGTCTTGGCTTCTTAGTTGGGCTTGGGCCTCCTTTTCCTTTTTTTCTTCTCATGGTCTGGGCCGGGCGCTGCCCCTTCTTCCTTCTCTTTTCTTCTTTTTTTTTTTCTTTCTTTCTTTCTTGATCTTGGCTTCCTGGTTAGGCGTGGGGCCTCCCTCTCTTTTCATTTTTTCTCTTGGTCTGGGCTAGGCGCTACCCCTTATTCCTTCTCTTTTCTTCTTTTTTTATCTTTCTTTCTTGGTCTGCTGTCCTGGGCGTCCCCCTTTGTTACTGCCTCCTCTTCTTCTCTTTTTTTTTATTTCTTCCTTTCTTGGTCTGATGTCCTAGGCGCCGCCCTTTGTTACTGCCTCCTCTTCTTCTTCTCTTTTTTTTCCTTGGCTTGCTGTCCTAGGCGTCACCCTTTGCTCCTGCCTCCTCTTCTTCTCTTTTTTTTTGTATTTCTTCCTTGGCTTGCTGTCCTGGGCGTTGCCCTTCCTTGTGTTGTCCCCTTAGCCTTTTTTTTTGGTCTTCTTGGTCTGCCTGGGCGTCGGCCTCCTTAGTGCTGTCCCCTTTCTCTCTCTCTCTCTCTCTTTTTTTTTTAATTTCTTCCTTGGCTTGTTGGGCGTCTGTCTTCCTCTTTTTTTTTTTTTTATATATATATATCCTCGTCTATAAATAGAGGTCGTTGTTCCCCCTTCCTCATTTTTCTTTTCTCACTTCTGGAGGCTTTTCTCAAATGGAGTCCTTCCATACCCATTGAGCTTCTCCAAGAGGCTAACTCACTAAGCTTCCCCAAGAAGCTTTGCTAAGGCTTCCTCAAGAAGCTTTGCTCAAGAAGTCACTCCTTCTGTATTTAAACACTCCTCAAGGCTACTATTCATCTCACCTTCTTCCATTTCTGTCCTTGAATCTACTATTCAACTCCTTAGTATTCTCCCTCTGTCAATACCCATGGAGATTAAGAGCTTAAGAACACGTGAGGCGGACCAAAGGAAAAATGATGGCCTTGATTTCATAGGTGGCGCCCATGAGGAAGGAGGCACAATGGGCGGCGCCCATGTTCAAGCGAGTGACGCCTATGCTTCGGGTGAAGCCCATTGTGGCGCGGGCAGTGGTGCACATGAGCAGCGAATGGGGAGTGTAGGGGCCTCCATGGGCGGCACCAAGGGCTTGGGTGACTCCCTTTCGGGCTTTGGACGTTCGGGTCTCTCTCTTTATGGTGGTTTTGGGTTGGTCTCGGCAACGGGTGAGAGACCCTTTGGGACCGTTAGCACGGGACCAGGTACAAGTAGGAGGGCTTCAAACAATCCTTTCACCATAGTAGGAGTAGCCCAAGGTGTCGGAGAGCAGCAAGAAGGATCCCTAAGAGAGACAATCGGTGCCTACCCTGAGCTGGGTGGTGCCCCAGGCATCCCGGGTGACGACCATCGTGCATAGGGCAGCACCCCAGGCAGCACCTTAGGCATTTCAGGTAGGGTTCAGTGTTCCCCTCGTGAGGCCAGGAAACGGTTGATCAACGACTTGGATAATACGAGCTCTCGAGGTAGGCTTCCCAATATTCTTTTTATTCTTTTGTTGTCATAATCACTTTCTTTAGCAATGGTCTGAACTTGTTTCTTGCGGATATTTACTCAAATGAGAGGGGGACTGCTGGGGACCCTGACAGAGGTCCAGACGCCGGGGGAAGTGACGGTTCCAAGGTAGCTTCTATACTTACTTTATTTGATCGTGAGGAAGATATTGCTGCAATATTATTTTCATACCGTATTCCACCTTGCGTGACTTATTGTCGTGCTGAGGCCGACGAACCCACATGTTGCAACTCTTCGGGTGAGATTGTTGTTTACGAGGGCATGTTGGAGGTGGGCCTATGGTTCCCTATTCCTGGGCTTATATGTCAGGTTCTCGGACGCTTGTCATTGGTTCTGGGGAGGCTGGCTCCTAATGGTTGGAGAGTGATTTTTGCATTCTTTTCATTGTGGTGGTTGGTACATAGTGCTACCATCCCTCCGCCAGTCGAGGAGTTTCTAGCTATATATATGCTACTTGAGAACCCCGCTCCCCACCGGGGATGGTATTGCTTTGCCCCAAGATCGGGCAAGTTCATCACCGGGCTCACGTCCAACCTTTATAAATGGAAGAGGCGAGTGGGCTTCTGAGTCCGATCGCGACCTCGTGCCCTCTCGATGGGATACAGTTTCGAATACCAAACTAGATGAGTGTTTTTCCTTTAACTTCTGTCTTAATTACCACGTTTTTGTTCTCATAGTGCAATTGTCTTTTTGCAGCCCCGCTGACCCTATTTAGAGACCAGGAGAGATTGCTCCAAATGGTTCGTGACAATCCATTCAGGGAGTTTTCAGAAAATTATGATGGTAGCCGGTGTTTCCATGGCTCTTTTAAGGCCGAAGAAAAAAGGTACCAACTTCTCTACTTGTCTTTCTTAGAAACACAGTGTTGTAGAATTCTTGGCTTACGTTGAATTTGCAAGTCCCCTTATTGATAGGTCGTTGGTGGAGTTCGTATGTGCTTCGAGGGTGGTGCCTTCTCCTCCTCCTCCTTTTAAGAGGGCAAGGACTAATACCCCTAGCTCTTCTCTGTCGGGGCCCCCTAGACAGGCTAGTCTCATAGAGGAAGGTCTCGAAGATGCTCCTCCTCTTTTTTTGGTTGGTATTTCCTCATCTCCCAGAGATGGTTCTAGTACTGCCACGGGGATCGAGGCCTGACGCAGTGTTCGACCCAGACGGAGGATCCGCCTAGTTGCTTCCCTTTGGGTGATGCTTCAGCGTCCATGCTACGAGATGTAAGGTTGGCAAGGGAGAGAATTTATGATTTTGTGTCTGTTATTGAAGCCCAAGAGGTTGCTTCTCGGGGTCTGGAGGGCGTGGTCAATGCCATCGTAGAGGGCTTTGCTTTGGTATGTCCTGCACTCCCGCTTTGTATATGGCTTTCTTTGTCATATCTTGACTTAGTTATGAGTTTCTTCGTGCTTTAATTTTTTATTGTCTCTAGGTGGCGGCTGCCTTACCCTGCTTGTTTGATAATACCCTGAGGATCGGGGAGGCAGTCAAGGGCTGGACGATGCAGAGGCAGGCATGAGAGGCTATTGAGGAGTAGCTTAGGCTTGAGCAGCAGGCACGATAGGATGCCACAGAGCTTCCACGGCAGGCACAAGAGGATGCTGAGAAGTAGTTGAGGCTCGAGTGGTAGGCACGAGAGGATGCCGCTAAGGAGTTGAGGCTGGCTCACGAGAGGGCTGATCGACTTGAGACTGACCTCCGTGTAGTGCTTGAGAGAGCTACTAGGGCAGAGGCTCAGAGGAATGCTGCTGAGAGGGCCAGGGCTAGTGCCTTTATTAATGACTATGATGAGTTCAGGAAGAAGTCTCAGTAGCATTCCCTGCCTATGATTTTTCTAACTATCGGCCTTATGAGGCCCCTAAGACTGATGATGAGGACTATGTGAGTGAAGATAGTGGGAGTCACTGGGGTGTGGCGCTTTGTATTTTTCATTCTGTTGACAGACTATGTCTATCATTTTGTAAAAAGCTCATAGACTTGGATGAAATACAACTTTTTGAGAAAATATTGGAAATTTTATTACATTGTTCAAAATAAATATTTGAGAAAAATCAACTAACATAAAAATTGACTAATATAAGAAATTATCCAATAGACAAAAATTCTAAATAGTGACTGCCAAGTTATAACTCATTGCCTCCAGCTACTGGTAGTATTTCTTTAGATGCTCTGCATTCTATGAATGGGCCAGGACCCTTCCTTCAAAATTCTGGATTCTGTAGGTACTCGGCCTTACCACCTCAGTGACTGTGTAAGGTCCTTCCTAGTTGGGTCCCAGTTTCCCTTCTCGGGAGTCTTTGGTAGACAAGATGACCTTTTTGAGGACCAGGTCCCTAGGTAAGAAGGCACGAGGCTTCACCCTCGAGTTGTAGTACTTGGTCATGTGACGCTTGTACTCTGCATTCTTGAGTATGGCTGTCTCCCTCTCCTCCTCCACCAAGTCGAGGTTAATGTAGAGGCCTTCTTTATTAATGGTAGGGTTATGGTGCCTAACCCTAAGCGAGTGTACCCCGATTTCAACTGGTATCACTGCCTCTGTGCCATAGGCTAGAGAGAAAGGTGTCTCACCTGTAGGACCCCTTGGTGTCGTCCGATAGGTCCATAGTACTCTTGGGAGTTATTCTACCCACTTCCCTTTTGAGGTCTCTAGCCTGACTTTCAAGTTACGGAGTATGGTCCTAACAGTGACCTCTGCTTGCCCATTTGCCTGAGGATGGGTGGGGCTAGAATGGGGCTGCTTGATCTGGAGGTCGGCATAGAAACTGTTTAGGAGCTTGTTGTCAAACTGTTTGGCGTTGTCACTTATAATGACGTTCGGTATCCCGAAGTGGCAGACTATATTTTTCCATACAAAGTCCTTTACCTTCTGGTCTGTGATTCTGGCCAAGGCTTCAGCTTCTGCCCACTTGGTAAAGTATTTGATGGCTATGACTACAAACTTGCATTGGCCTCGACTCACAGGGAGGGGACCTAGAATGTTGATCCTCCACATGGAGAAGAGCCATGGGCTTTGAATGGTGGTGGTTGCCTGGGCATGGTCGCAAAGCTTTGGCACTTGTCACATCTCTTGACAAAGTCTTGGGTGTCTCGGATCATGGTGGGCCAATAATATCCCTATCTGATTGCTTTGTGGGCTAACTCACGCCCTCCCGAATGATTCCCACATATTCCCTCATGGATCTCCCTCATGATGTAGTTAGCTTCTTCGGGGGTGAGACAACGAAGTAGTGGGAGAGAATCACTTTTCTTGTAGAGGGTGTTCTGTAGGATGACATACCTGGATGCTCTCATTCTCATCCTTCTGGCTTCCACTAGGCTGTCCGGGAGAGTGTCTTCCTCTAAGTAAGAACGGATAGGAGTCATCCAATTGGACTTCGAGGATGCGCAGTGGACCTTGCCCTCTCCTGGTTTGGTGGTGCTTGGCTCAAATTGGTGACCTATCAGTGCCGGGCCCATAAGTAGGTTGGCAGAGGCAAACTTGGCGAGGGCATCAACCATTGCGTTATCTTCTCAAGGTACATGGTGGATCTCGAAGTAGGAAAACTTTGCAAGTAAGGCTTGGGCCACCAAGAGGTACTCTTACATCATTTTTTTCTTTGCTTCAAAATCTATCCTCACTTGGTTGACTATAAGCTACGAGTCACTGTAGGCAGTCAAGTTGAGGGCCTCCATCTCTAATGCTAGTCTCAAGCCGGATACGAGAGTCTCATACTCAGCGTGATTGTTTGATGTGGCGAAGTAGAGGGTGACAACGTATTTCAAGGGAGTGCTGTGCGGGCTAATCAACACTAGTCCAGCTCCACCACCCTCGCTGGTGGAGGACCCATCTACATCAAGTTTCCAGAATAGTGTAGTGGGTGATGGAGGCAATGTTTGGAGAGGTGAGCAAGGAGAGTGTGATGAGGGCTAAGAGGGCGAGGCCCTAGGTAGGTTGGACGACGCCCATGGCATGGCGGGTGGCGCTCCTAGCAAAGTAAGTGGTGCCAGGGGCCAAGTGGGTGATGCCCAATGTAGCCCAGTCTACGAGGCTACCTCCTGTTCCTTCTCTAGGTAGTGGTTCTCCCCTTGGGCAGCATCTGGATTGGTCTCTTGGAGGGTGGAATTAGTGTACACTGAGTAGGTGGCCGCAGGGGCGCCTGGTACCTCCTCTTGTGACTTCTGTAAGGGTGTGGACTCTACTATAAAGTCTCCTAGTACCTGTGCTTTGATGGCAGCCCTCGGCTGGTACTACACATAGAATTCGTTCAACTTCATAGCCTACTTAAGCAGTCTGCTAGAGACATCAGGCTTCCCTAAAATTCTTTTGAGTGGCTAATCCATGACAACCACAATGGTATAACTTTGAAAATAGTGGCGTAGATGTCTAGCTGTAGTAACGAGGGCGAGGGCCAATTTCTATTTCTGAGTACCTTACCTTTACCCCTCGATAGGCTCTGCTTACATAGTATACGAGTTTTTGGATGCTTCCATCCTCCCTGATAAGGACTGAGCTCACGAAAGAGGGTGAAGAGGAGAGGTAAAGGTAGAGAGTTTCTCCTGGTACAGTATGGGAGAGCAATGGTGGTGTGGTGAGGTAAGCCTTGAGTTTCTAGAAGGCTTCCTCGGCCTCTAGGCTCTACGCGAAGGACTTGCGGAGGATCTTAAAAAAGGGTAGACATTTATCTGCTGATTAAATAATAAAACTGTTGAGGGTGGCTATTCTCCCATTGAGGCACTAGACTTCCTTTGTTGAGACAGGGGACCTCATCTCCAAGACAGTTATGATTTTATCCGGGTTGGCCTCAATACCCCTTTTGTGGACCATGAAGCCTAAGAATTTCATGAATCGAAGCCAAAGGTGCACTTTTTAGGATTCAACTTCATTCTATAGGCCCTCAACACATTGAAAGTCTCCTGTAGGTGCGTTACATGGTCTGCTGCAGCTATGCTTTTCACCAGCATGTCGTCCACATAAACCTTCATAGTCTCCCCAATCCGGGTCTTGAACATCTTGTTGATGAGGCGTTGGTAGGTGGTGCCAGCGTTCTTGAGCCTAAAAGGCATCACCCTGTAGCAGTAAGTGCCTCTCGGGGTGATGAACGAGGTCTTTTCCTGGTTCGGGGGGAACATGCTAATTTGGTTGTACCCTGAGTAGGCGTCTAGAAAACTTAAGAGCTTGTGTCCTATAGTGGCGTCAATGAGTATGTCGATGCGTGGCAGAGGGTAACTTTCCTTGGGACAGGCCTTGTTGAGCTCTGTGAAGTCCATGCAGAGGCGCCACTTCGCATTGGCCTTTGTCACTATTACCACATTGGATAGCCAGTCTGGGTAGGCTACCTCCTTCACTGACCCATTCGTGAACAGCTTATCTACCTCCTTCTCCATGGCTTGCCCTCTCTTAGTATTCACACTCCTCAACTCCTGGCGAACATGCTTATTTCTAGGGTCAACATTGAGTCGGTGGGAGGCCACCTCGGGGTCGATACCTTCCAAATCTTCGTGGGACTAGGCAAAGACATCTATGTTTTGCTTAAGGAAGTCTATTAAGGCAGATGCCAGCTTCTGGTAGAGTGAGGAGCCTATGTAGACCTTTCTCTCTAGAAGTCTATCGCTGAGCACTAGAGGCTAAAGTTCTTATGCGGGCTCACCCCTTTCCAAGGTGCTGTCATCCCTGGGGTCAAGTACTTCGACTTGGAGAGTCTCATATGGTCTCTTAGCCCTCATAGAGGCCACGTAGCACTCTCTGGCTGAGACCTGATCTCCTTTTATCTCCCCAACTTTGTTGGAGGTTGGGAAACAGAGGAGAAGGTGGTAAGTTGAGGGTATTGCCTTTAAGGCATTGAGGGTAGGGCGTCTAAGAATTACATTGTAAGTAGAAGGGCAACCAAGTACAAGAAAATTTACCATTATAGTCGAGCTTCTAGGTGTAGTCCTTGCTGTAACAGGCAGGGTGATGAATCGCAGGGGATGGACTCTCTCTCCTGAGAAACCAACCAAGGGAGTCTTGACTGGCCGTAGTCTTTCTCTGCCAAGGTGAAGGCTGTCATAGGTAGTGACGAACAGGATGTCGGTTGAGCTGCCGTTGTCAACTAGGACCCTCCTGACCTAGTAGTTAGCCACCATCAAGGTCAAGATCAGATGGTCATCATGTGGGACCTAGACTTCTTCGGGGTCTCTGACTGAGAAGGTGATGACCTCCTCCTCTCCGTGTTGAGGTGTCTTCAGCGGGTGAGAGTCATAAGACTCCGACTGTCTAGCTCTACGGACGTGCGCCTTCCTGGCAGAGTTGGAGTCACCTCCTCCTCCTAACCCTTCGGCAATAGTGTGAA